GAATACAGGTTTTTCCAAATTAAATGTATGTGGATTAGTTTAGCTATATGTTCTTATTTCCATGCAAAATTAATTTAGTGTATTATGCTTGCTTAATGTAATTAATGTTTATTATAGCCTGGACATAGAAGTGAAAGAATTTTGTCGTTTGGATATGCTCAAAAGAGGGCTACAGGAGTTGGAGATAGAGGAATCCCCGCTGCAACTCTAACGCCTGCACCAACAGCACCTGCACCAACAGCACCTGCACCAATAGCACCTGCACCAATAGCACCTACAGTACCTGCACCAATGGCACCTCCACCTATAACAGCAACAACTCCCTCAGGAAGCAGTAGGCGCAGTAGGCAATTTGTTACTGCCACTAACTTGCAAGCACAATTATGGGAAAAAAGAAGGCAAAAGGAAGAAGAAGCACTTGGTCGTTGGGCAGAGTTATTGACTAAAATTCACACAGATAAACAGTCAAACGTTTAGACTGTGAAGTTTTTTTTTTTTGAACAGCTAGACTGTGAAGTTATTATGTGTTGTTTGCATGGATGCTTCTTTTTTGGACAGATTAGGTTGTGTATTGCCTGGATGATTGTTTTTGGACAGCCACCCCTGTTGAGTGTAAAGCTTTTTGTTGTGTGTTTAGGGTGTGCTTCTGTGCTTCTGTTTTGGACAGATTAAGGTGTGCTTCTATTTTGGACAGATTAGGGTGTGTAGTACATAGAGTGATATTGCATGGACACTTGTTTTTGGACAGATATGGGAGTTTAGGTTGCTTGTTGTATTTGGCAGGGAATCTGCTATAATGTGCTTTTATTTTGGATTTGAACAACATATATTTTATATTTTACTGTATATGCATTGTAATTTTGGTATTGGGATTAATGAAATGCATATATTGACTTTTGTGAATTGCTTTAGGTAAATGACCAATTGCCAAATTTGCCTATCTTTGGATACCAGAATGCTTTTGTGCAGAAATTGGTATAAGGTTAAAAATTGAAACAACCCAAAAAGTGTGTTACCTAGAAATGGAATGCATTGCATTTCAACAACTGGGAATTGACAAAAACATAACAAAAACATTATACATATAGATACAAACACCAACTTATATGTCCATTACATCAACCTAAACACACCAACTAATATGACAAGTACAGCCACGAACACAACAAAAACCACACACATTATGTGGTTGACTTTATTTGATGTCCGGTAATCCTTATCCAACTTTTTCAATTTCTTCTCAGCTGTCTTCATCTTCTTCATCCATAATTCACACTGATTTGCCAAATACCCATTATCATTCTTCAAAGTCTGATTTTCGTTCTTCAAAATATCATTCTCATTCTTCAAATTCCCATTTTCTTGCACCAAATCAGTATTTTCCTTACTTAATTTCTCATTCTCTCTCTTCAGCTTCTGTTCCCTGTCTTTTAATATTAAAAGCAACTCCCTTGGTCTGCCCTCGATTGTCTCTTCACCAAGAAGAAAATGGAAGTACTTGCAAGGTTTCTAACAAGGTTAAATCATTAAATCAAAAAAAAAAAAAAATTCAGTGCAGATGAAATTAAGCTTTAGGATAGAACATACCACCAACTTAGGGCACCCACGAAACCTTTTTCCCATGTT